GAAAGAGTAGGCAAAACTGGGGTTAAACATAGCCAGTTGTTCGAATCCAAGAGGAAAGGGGGAAGGAATGGGAGTAAATCATCTTCCCATGTTTGAAGTTTTCAGTGTTGTTTCAAGATCAGTGTACAGTCAGTATTTTTGTGTTGTTCTAAGATCAGCATAAGGTAAGAGAACAAACAGAAGCCTCCCTTTGTATCATTTTAGGAACAATGAAAATAAAATAATACCTGTTGAATGGAGTAAAAGCCTAGCTTTCTGTGATACAAGAATGGGCTAGTAACACCTCATCTGTAACAGTTTCAAATTTAATCCTAATACAGTGCAAAGCATAATTTATCACTGTATTTGAGGAACCCTTTCTCCTAAGTCCCCCAGGGAGATTCACAGGCCCAGGCAGGCTCCCCTCAAGCTTTCCTCTTCCACCCTGGCAGGTCCCAGGGACTCCCCCGCCCCCCTCCTCTCTTCCTGGTAACCGTCACCACCTACCCAGACTGTGGGTTTCTCATCCCTCCTAGATGGGTTCCCGAAGATGGTCTCGTTATGTCCACCTGTTGGGCTGCACCCCGCAGGCCTATGGGCCCTGCACTTGCCCAGGTTCAAGACTGAAGAAAGAGCCCAAAGTCAACAACAGAGACATCAATGGTTTAATGGATGGGGGAGCTTACATGTCTGAAGCAAGGTCCCCCCATTTGCAGCAAGCGGCAGACAGGATATGGCGGCAGTCTCCGCTCCCAGGGTGGGGGCGGTGGGGGGGGCTACCAGTTATAGGGAAAATGACGTCAGGTGGGCTCATTGGTTACCAGGGAAACCAGCAGAGAGGCACGCCCCTCACCACCCCTTTGATAAGAACAATCACTAGCTGGGGCAGAGGCAAGTACACAGGAAGGTCAGTCACATGCGTCAGATATAGGTGACGCAGGCCCTGGTAGGGCAGAGGACTTACGGAGAGCAAGAGAACAGGCGTCTTGAGTGGCCTGACTATACAGGCTTCCTTGCTGTCCCTGAAAACAAGTTTGCAGACCCTTTTCATTTTAAGACTTTAATGTCCATCGTTACAAGAGAAAAGACAAGATCTAAGGGCAAAGTATGGGGAAGTTATATAAAAGGGTACAAATCTGACAGTTTTGGGTCCTGGTCCAGTGCATCTGATGATCTGGTTAAAATAACTGGAAATTTCTTTTACACTAACATTGGGTATTATAAGCAGAAAGGGTAGGGGGTCCCCAGAGAAAAGAGAATCAGGCATGGCTTTCTTGACACAAGAGAACCCATTTTGACCTAAGCCATTTTGTGATCTAAGCCTGGCCACAATGCTTGCCCTTGAACAGGTCTCAGTAATTAATGATCTTAAGGGAACAAAAGAATGCAGGAACAAAGAAAAAGCAGTCAAGAAACAATGGTTCTGGGATTCCCTGGTGGCGCAGTGGTTGAGAGTCCGCCTGCCAATGCAGGGTACACGGGTTCGTGCCCCGGTCTGGGAAGATCCCACATGTCGCGGAGCGGCTAAGCCCGTGAGCCATGGCCGCTGAGCCTGCGCGTCCGGAGCCTGTGCTCCGCAACGTGAGAAGCCACAACAGTGAGAGGCCCGAGTGCCGCAAAAAAAAAAAAAGAAAAGAAACAATGGTTCTGTGATAAAAGAGTCCTAGATTCTCAAGAGATATATGTAGATGTAGAGAATGGACTTGAGGACGCAAGGAGGGGGAAGCGTAAGCCGGGATGAAGTGAGAGAGTGGCATGGACTTATATACATGACCAAATGTAAAATAGATAGCTAGTGGGAAGCAGCCGCATAGCACAGGGAGATCAGCTCGGTGCTGTGTGACCACCTAGAGGGGTGGGAGGGAGACACAAAAGGGAGGGGATATGGGGATATATGTATACGTATAGCTGATTCACTTTGTTATAAAGCAGAAACTAACCATTGTAAAGCAATTATACTCCAATAAAGATGTTTAAAAAAAGAGAGATACGTAACAATCTGATACATATCATTGAGTACATACATATCTCTGGGGGCAGAAAGTAAGGCTGCCACCCAGGTGGAGGATGGAATGATGATGTTGACCTTTTCTGACCCTCCTGACTTCAATCAATTGAAGCCTGCACTCTGTCAACCTTTGCCCCAATTCTACACTGATTTTTCCACTGCTTAAGACCCTTCATGAATATGTGTGTATCCTTAGTTTCCAACTTCCCCAATTTTGCTATTCAGGGAGGCACAGCTTGGGAAAGATCCCTGGTGTTCTCCTTTCTTTTGGCTGTGCTGTGAGATCTTAATTCCTTAACCAAGGATTGAACCTGGGCTCTTGGCAGTGAAAGCATGGAGTGCTAACCACTGGGGAACTCCCTCTCCTTCCTTGCTGCAGATAATAATTCCTTCCTTCTCCCATTCTTTGGTTTGGCCATGTTTCTTGTCCCGACACCCACCAAAAGGCAAATCCAGTCTTTTGGGTAACACATCCACACCGGGAGGATGACACACCCCAACTTAACGGGGACAGAGGCTCCTGTGCTTGGGACCCTCCCAGACCTTGCCCTATGTGTCTCTTCATCTGGCAGTTCATCTGTTTCCTTTATCACATCCTTTAATCAACTGGCAAACGTGTTTTCCTGAGTTCTGTGAGCCGCTCTAGCGAATTAATCAAACCCAAGGAGGGGGTCGTTGGAACCTCTGATCTATAGCTGCTTGGTCAGAAGCACAGGTAACAACCTGGACTTGGGGTTGGCGTCTGCAGTGGGGAGTAGTCTTGTGGGACTGAGCCCTTATCCCGTGGGCTCTGACGCCGTCTCCAGGTAGATGGTGCCAGAACTGAGTTAAATTGCAGGCCACCCAGCTGGTGTTGCAGAGAACTGCTTGGTGTGGGGAAAACGCCCACACACTTGGTGACCAGAAGTGCCAGAAATGTGTGTTTTGTGTGAGAAGTAAAAGAAGCACTTAGGAGACAGACGGGGCTGAGGTCTTTTCGTACAACAGGAGGGAAAAACTAGGGTTTTCCTTCACATTGCGGTTCATCAAACCTTTTACTTCCTATTCATCTTTGGCTGCTGCCTTGCTGTGAAACTCCGTCTCGGTCCTTCCCCTAGAAAAGTCCATTTCTTCAGTGCAGAGACTTAACAAGGACTATCTTAGCAGGATAGTTGAACCCCTATTTCAAGCGGTTTCAAGAACTTTCACTTCTGAACACTTGGAGACCAGGCAAGACGTATTTTACTACACTTCTATCCTACATGGGATTCTTCTCTTAAGAGCTTTTGCCTACAACTCCACTGACTTTTTTCCCTTTTCTCTCTTTTTTAAAATAATTGTTTATTTTTGAACAGGTTACTTTTCTACATAGTTCAGTATTGGAAAGATACAAAAAGGGACAGTGAAAAAAAACTCCCCCACTCACCTCCCAGTCCTCCAGTTCTCTTCCTCAAGGGCAACCAAGATGATCTTTTTTCCCTGTGTATCCTTCCAGAGATATTTTATACATTGCAAGCAAATATACACATAAAATGCAAATATATTCTCCC